AAGATGAAAGAACTTGCAGCTCAAGAAGATGGTCTTACAATGCACCTGACTGGCTTGAAAAGCGCCATTTATTTCACAGAGAAAGTAGTGAAAAGTGGTGGTAACAGCGATATCCTGTCAGTGTCAAAAGAAGTGACTTCTCGTTTGTCCCAACTTTGTGAAAGACAGTTCAACGAAAATCCACGACAGCAATATACAATGGGCCTTCAGTCTGATGAACAGATATTCAGGGAATGGAAAGATCAGCATGTTAGTGTTGTGGATGCTTGTATACCTGATCCTAAGCAGTGCTTAGTCACGCAATCAATAAATGGCCGTTTTGTGCCGAATCAGGGCCCCATCAAAGCTACACAAGGCCAGATTCTGAAGTTCGTTATTTGTGTAAGCAATGTGTTTGGGGATAAACTTAGATTCATGGAAGACAGGATTGAAGTGATGGTGTTTCACAGTCCGAATCAAACCTCGGGGTTCCAATTCGGTTCTGGTACAGGCGGTTTATTTGGCGCAATGTCGAATCCATCCAGTACTCCCTCGTTTTGCACCACTGGTTCAGCACGATCAGGATCAAATAATATAACTACTCAGATACGAGATATACAGTGCCATGAAGACAACACTTACAGTTTTGATTTTTGCTTTGATCGTGGTATGTCACAAGCAGAAATCAATGTCAAAGTCGACGGAATACAAATTCAAGGATGTCCTTTTCGAATTACGTACGGAACCGGACCGGGAGTAGGCCTTGGATTCGGCCCAACAAAAATGGCAGGGAGTACTTACGGCTTCTGAAAAGCAAGGATTAGCAATCGAGATTTTTAGTTTATAAAATTCCAATAAATGTTAGTAATTAGCTTTTTTTAGAAACTAAAAAAAACTTGTACGATTTTCGTTTAACCAACTAATTTAGGGTAGGAGAAACGCTTGTATCAATGATGGCAATATCAACGACTTTTTTAGAGTACTAATAACATACAGTGACTGGGCGCAATTAATTTTGGTTTAGAAACACACGGTCAAAAAGTGGACTAAAGTGGTTGAGTCATTCTCATACACAGGAACCCCCTCATTTCCAAAATCGGAGGTTCTGGAAAACCCTGAAATTATATCGAATTTCATTGGCTTATGAAAACAACATAGCAATGAACTCTGATTGGATAACAGGATAAACAAACATACCAACGGAAATCGAGCAAGGAAAATCAACAAGAACTGTTAAATTTCTTCGAATCTTAAATCAAATATTATTTCCATTTGTTGAATATATAAACTCTTGCAAATAGAAGACGTAAACAAGCCGTTAGAAAGGTTGAGCTGGTATTTCAGAGTTAGCGATCGTGAAGTCGAGCATGCGTTCTAATGACCTGGTCGCAAGATTCTGGCTTCCGGTCAGTAGGCGGGTTTCCCATGGCCCAGAGCCTACGTTTTGGCTAATGAGTAGGGTCTGGGAACGAGAATGACGCTGAGTAAGATTTTCGTAAACGAGGAAAAACGAGGAGGCTCTGTGTACGAGAATAGAGTGACCTGTATTCTTATCTCTAAAGATTTGCTTGCTTCAATTTTTGTCACATCTTAAAACTCGCTGCAGTCAGACTTTGTTCAGRACATAAACTGTAAGTACTAAACATGATAAATCCACTTTTTAGCTGGTATTAATATTATTTTAGATAGTTTTGATGAATATTTTAGAAAGCCATTTTAAAAGCAGAAGCCAGTGACAGAAGCTTAAGTTTTATATATTAACAGGCTGTACGTAGTGAATTGTATGGTAAGACTAGCAATAAAGGTTCATTCTTGGATTAGTAAGGTATGACAGGGAAAGATTCATCAGTCACTGAGCCATTTTTTCTTCGAGAATTCTCTCTTACTCCTCGGTTTTCCTCCTCTTTCCTTTTTCAAGTCGACGGACGACGACATGAATGTTACCAAACCTTTAATCATAATACTAAATCTATAAAAATGGATAAGCTGTTAAAGGAAAGTAAGAAATTCCGAACGCAGAAAACGTATCATGAACTCATCCTTTTGAGACACTCGAAAGCGTTTCATTGAAACTTTCAAKTTTTTTGTGTGTGTGCTTTAGACGTTTGAAGACCAGCGAGAAGAACATGCATTTAACGATTGTTGACAACCACCGAGACATTTATTACTTTATTTTTCGTTCGATAAGAGAGTAAAAACCAAAGTTTTAAAGGTTCTTAAATTAATTTGTAGCTTTGCTTTCTTGTCGAAATATCATGAATATCCTGAACGAGTTTTTCATTTGCAGTTTGTTTTGTTTTCTGCTTGCCAGCTGCAAGAACAAAATTTACATAAAAATCCCACCAATGCCAAGAATTTGCATTGAAAACAGCCAGTCTTGTCGTAGACTGACAAGTAATGGAGTATTTCGAGCAAAAGTGGTTGCTAGAGTGACATTTCCACGAATTGCAATTTCTTTTTCTCAGAAACGATCTAGGTACAAAAGTAATTTGCAAACGACAGTCGATATTTGATAACAATTAAAACAGTTGGGCCTATAGTTTTCTTTTTATATTTCSGCCATTTCTGATTGTTAGTGCTTTGCGCCGACAAGCCAAACGTTGTGTGACAATCAATGCGTGATCGATTCGCCCCCTTTATGGATATTTAATACCCAGTAGTACGGGGTATTAATAGTTATTAGAATATCATTCTTTGTTTTTAAATTTTCTTTTTAATTAAGATAAAATCTTTGAAATAAATTTTTGAAGATTGAATTTAAATCTAGTGTATGGTTTTCTTAAAAGAATGGCTGGAAAGTTATCTGAAGGACTTGGTGAACAGGTCACGTGTCCAATCTGTTTGGAACACTACTCGGACCCACGCCTTCTCCCCTGTCTACATACCTACTGTAGGCAGTGCTTACAAGATCTCCTGGCTAAAGGAGAAAGAAAGGTGTCTGTTGTTTGTCCAGAATGTCGAGAGGAAGTCCAGGTAAGGTCGTTTTTGCTACGTCCTCAGCTGCCATTTATAAATAAGGGCGGAATGCATCTCTTATCTTTCCACAGATAATATCTAGTGATGTTACGAAGCTCAAAGTTAACTTCTGGATCAACAATCTTATGTCACTTCTGGCCATCCATTCGATTGATGAAAAAGATGGCGGCAAAACTGAGYTGACGTGCGAAAACTGTGACATAAAAGAGACAGCTACTCGTAGATGTGTCAACTGTTGCATGTTCCTGTGTGACTTTTGTTCAACGGCTCATCAGCGTTCCCTACCAACCAAAGACCATCASCTGATGACACTGGATGAGATAAAGAACACAGGTATCCCAGTCATAGAAAAACAACTGTTTTGTGGGAAGCACAAGGGAGAAGTCAAGAAACTTTTCTGCAATACTTGCCAAGAATTGATTTGCCGTGATTGTACCATTATTGACCATCGTGATCATCAGTTCAGMTTCGTTGAAGACGTCGCTGATCAACACAAACAACTCTTTAAAACAGAAGTAGAAAGAGCAAGCGTTACCAAGAACAAGATCGAGGCAGTTCTGAAGTCAGTCCAGAACATGAAAGAAAACGTAGAGAAAACATCAAAAGCCACTGAAAAAGACGTCGATGATTTTATTGATCAACAGATCAAAGCCTTGGAAGAAAAACGAATTGTGCTTAAACAAGAAACAAAAAAGATTGCAGCCACGAAGATGAAAGAACTTGCAGCTCAAGAAGATGGTCTTACAATGCACCTGACTGGCTTGAAAAGCGCAATTGAATTTACAGGGAAAGTGTTGACAAATGGAGGCAACAGTGATGTCCTGTCAATATCCAAACAACTGACATCTCGTTTGTCACAACTGTCTGAGAAACCTTTCCCTGAATCTCCATGCCAAGAAGATGAAATAGGGCTCCAGTTTGACGAAAATCTAATTCGTGATTTCATACATGGTGCTAATGTTTTTGACTCTTCTACAGTTGACTATGATAAGTGCTCTGTTGCACAACGAATTAATGGCCGTTTAGTCGAGAGCCAAGGCTATATTCACGCAACACGAGGCCAGATTCTGGAGTTCGTTGTCCAAATCAAGAACTCGCTTGGTAAAAATCTGAAATCCATGGCTGACAGAATAGAAGCCAAATTTTCTCACTTAAATGGCAACAAGTTGGCATTACCGATAATAAGCTTGACAGACGACACGTACAGCTTTAATGTGACGTATCAATATCGGTCCAATATCCATGTGATGGTCGACGGGAAGAATATCTTGGGTTCTCCAATAAATATTCACAAGCAATCCCAGAGAAACATGCGACAGGGGACTGGATTATATGGCCATAACTTTTATGAGCGGGATGCATACTGGGCAGAGGCAGGTCTAACGGAGGAGTACTGGGCAGAGGGTGATCCACAGGAGGAATGTTGTCCACAGGACGCATGTTATTCTGCACAAGCCGCTTTACACGATTTTGGTGGCTATTACCACTGACACTAGCCTTTGTAGTGACATTTAACCCGTGAAGGGGATATCAGTATTCCCACTTAGTTACCGAGTTTCTTGGTATATCGATTGTTCTTTTCCATGCAGCATGCATGCTTCTTTGTTTGCTTGTGCCTGTAAAGCCACATTGGTGTCTGTGATCTTTTAATGAACACATTAGCTTGTTGAACAAATTCATTGCAGTTCATCTGAATTAAGACAAGGGGCTTTTACACTTATCAGTCCACCACAGATATCCCATGTCATGTATTTCAATGGCTATAACTTGTGATATATATATTTAGTTTCATCGTATGTCATTGTACTTTATTCCTTAGACACGCTTTGCTATCTAGTTGTCCCACTACCGTAGAGCATTATGGTCTATGGAAGAGTAGTTAGTCCATTGAATACGATATGACGTCATAAGCCGTGATGTCACATGATCAGTCATACGGATCGAGCAACCCTAATATTGAAGCTTGTCTGAAGTATTCGATTCACTGTAATCTTGACGAGTACCAATTATGTGAGTAGCGAACAACATAAAGTCCACCAGCTAAAAACTAAAGTGAGTCAGATTCTTAGGAGACGTTGTACTATTTTTGGTAAGCTAAAAATCTCACTCGGCCAGTTTGTTAACGGAATACTTCCTGGTCGGTTAGTTTGCTTTGTCTATGATACTGAGAAATAACACCTGGCTTATGGATATCAAAATAACAGTTAATACATGTTGAATTCAAAACCTAATCACAAGGAATAATGCAGATTCACGAGATCAGAGTTAATAAGCTAATTGAGTAGGCTTAGCGTATATATAAATCCACGAAGAAGCTGTTTTCGAATCACTTCTGAATTTTACACCTGGAAGTTTTAGAACCGCAATTCAATTACCGTAAAATATTGTAAAGACACTGTATTTTAACTCGTATGTATCGGAGAAAAATTAGAATAATAACTCTTARATAAGAAATGTTGCTCAGTATCAGAAAAATAATGTTGATTAAATAGAGGATATTACATGGGCGCGCGGAGATACGAAATTTATCTTCGAGTGTTGAAAAGATCTCTCACGAGTGAGCGCAGCGAACGAGTGAGAGATTTTCAACACGAGAAGATAAATTTCGTATCTCTAAGCGCCCATGTAATATTCTGTTTATTATATAATTATCAATGAAGTATGTTTTGGCTTTTTCAGGCAATTCTTTCCGATTATTTTTGAATAGCCATCGCAATGGTGTTATCTTCACACGTGAAAATAACATGTTATTTTCACGTGTGAAGATATCAATTTTTCGAAATAGAGAAAAATAGATATTTCATTGGTAATTATATAATAATGACAATTATTTTCATCTTATATATAATTGGATATATATATTCAGTGTTCACAATGAGTTAATATCAATAGTCTCTAGACTGTGACAATCCTTAGAAGTTACAGCATAACTATAAGCGATTTGAACTCCTTTGATTACATAATTAAAAAATAATTTTAATATCTAACTAAATAAAATTTTAAAAAAATATTTAACAAATCAACGCGCAAAAAATCTGATAGAATTTGAATTTGAGTCGGGACAAAAATTAATAGACAGATGTGGAAGTACGCATCATTACACTTTCACATTTTCTCTGCGTCATCCACTCAACAACGCTCATTTAGAATACGTTTCGGGAAGTGTCTTTATCTTAAGCTGCAGGGTCACTTAATTAACCGAGTTTCCTTTCCATGAGGGTGATTTTATACGACATGTGAAATACTTCAGTAGACTACCAAACGACTGTTACACTTGTGCAAACCTGCGACCCAGCATTACTTGTTCCTCGAGCGTTTGTTTCGCTCTACTGTTTATGTATTTCCAAGACTAATGCTGAACTTAAAAAGACTGAAACCAGCAAACCTGTCTTTTACAGGTTCATACCTTGAACATTTTCTTCGCTGTACTAAGACTATTACTATGAACACTACATGAATGTTGTTTACTTGCAAGTGACCTCAGTTCTTGTCACCACAGAATTTTCTACTCAATGGCTACAAAGTTATCTGAAGGACTTGGCGAACAGGTCACGTGTCCAATCTGTTTGGAACACTACTCGGACCCACGCCTTCTCCCCTGTCTACATACCTACTGTAGACGGTGCTTACACGATCTCCTGGCTAAAGGAGAAAGAAAAGTGTCTGTTGTCTGTCCAGAATGTCGAGAAGAAGTCCAGGTAAGGTCGTTTTTGAATAATGTGATTTTGCAATAGCAAAACGTCCTCTGCGGCCATTTATAAATAAGGGCAGAATGCATCTTTTATCTTTCCACAGATAATATCTGGTGATGTTACGAAGCTCAAAGTGAACTTCTGGATCAACAATCTTATGTCACTTCTGGCCATCCACTCGACCGACGAAAAAGATGGCGGCAAAACTGAGTTGACGTGCGAAAACTGTGACAGCAAAGCAGCAGCCAAAGGAAGATGTGTCAACTGCTGTATGTTTTTGTGTAACGTTTGTTTTACAGCACATCAGCGTCTGCTAGCGCTGAAGGACCATCAACTGATAACACTGGATGAGCTGAAAGATACAGGTATCCCAGTCATAGAGAAACAACAGTTTTGTACCAAGCACAAAGGAGAAGTCATGAAGCTGTTCTGCAATACTTGCCAGAAACTGGTTTGCCGTGACTGTGCCATAATTGACCATCGCGATCACGACTTCAGCTTTATCAAAGACGTTGCAACCGACTACAAAGAAAACCTTAAGCAAATAATGAGAAGAGCAAGCAACATCGATAAAAACGTTGAAGCTGTTCTGAAATCGGTCCGAGAAATGAAAGGAAAAGTTGAGATGGCATCAAAAAGAACGGAAAAAGATGTCGATGACTTGATTGACAAGCAAATCAAAGTTTTAGAAGAAAAACGAGACACACTGAAGGAAGAAGCAAGAAGTATGGCGGCAGAAAAGATAAAGGAGCTAGTGACACAAGAAGATGGTCTTTTGGTACATCTGACTTCTTTGAAAAGCGCCATTGAATTTACAGGAAAGTTGCTGGAAAATGGAAGTGATGGTGACGTTTTGAATGTATCACATCAAGTAGAATCACGCTTGTCACAGCTATCCGAGAAACCGTTCGCTAAAGACCCATGCCAAGAAGACAAGATACGACTCCGAGTCGACCATCTTGTATTAAGCGACAGCATTGAACGCTTTGCCGAGGTTATAGACGCAATCACCCCTGATCCAAATCACAGCATGGTGACACCAGTGACTGTTGACTTGTTCGAGAGATATGGGATATTCTACGCCAAAAATGGACAGGTTCTAGAATTCGTTGCGTGCATTAAAAACGCATTTGGCGAGAAGCTGAGATTCATGGGGAAGAGGATCGAAGTTAAGGCATTGTCGGTTYGTAGTTCAAACCCGCGGACATTTGACATTAAAAGTCACAGCGATTGCACTTACAGTTTCGTACTAAAGTTCGGGGATGTTCCGTCTATGGATGTCCGAGTTATGGTCGATGGAAAGAGCATAGAGAGAAGTCCAATTCTTATTAAATCCTTAAAAACGGAAAGCAATGATGAGACAAATATTGTGGAAGTTGAGCATGCAGCAGTATGCCCTAGTCGCAATCGTCGCACGATTGGTCATCGCAATAAACAGATGAAGCGCATTGAGCATAAGTAAAAAAGCTTTGATTTTAGAGCTTATCTAATTTATATCTCCAAGGAGAGATTATGGTATGGTCGAAGAACTAGAAAATAATCTGAAAACTACACTAAGCACGGAGCATGCGCACAGCCAAAAAGTGCCCTTTAAGAAAAGAACGCGGACCTTTCTGAACGGGGATAAGAAGAACGTTAAAGTTACAAACTAAATTGGTCACTCTTTTACAAGTAGCCGCGAGAGTCCGCATGGGACAGGTTGGTATACAACAACACTGACATGGTTTATCAATTGAATCGTCCAATTACAACGCGCAGTTACTGTTATGTAAAAACCCTTAATGCATGGTATCGTTAGTCATTGCACTTAAGCGAAATTCGCTTTACAGCATTATTGGTGTCTTTTGTTGGTAAAGATCAACAATACTGAAACAAATAAAAAGATTGAAATACTATACAACTTCCGAAGAAGTGTTAGAAAACCCTAGAAGATGAATGAAGAACACGAGGCGCGATTACACGATGCGACATCGCTTGCGATCAAGATCTTAAGGCCCCGTCCACACGTATCCGGAAATTTTTGTATCCGCAAATTATTTTTTTGCGGATACGAAAATGTTTGCGCCCACACGTAGCGTATTGGAATCGTTTTCACCGTCCACACGTGTCCGTTTTCGTAAAATTTGCGGATACGGACACAAAAATTTGCGGACACGTATGGATGCAACCCGTATCCGTAAAAAAAATTGCGGACACAAAAATTTGCGGATACGTGTGGACGGGGCCTAAGAGTCTAACACTTCGATATCGAATGCAACAGGGAAGATAGGACATGGTATTGTTTCAGGGGTGGAAACGTACCGCATGCGAAATCGTACCCTCGGTACAACCCTTAACGTTACCAGGGATGCTCCAGGGATGTAGGTTGGAGTGAGACAACTATAGACATTTTTCGAATTCCAAATTACCGCTGTGTTCATTTGCACAGGGTTAGCCTCGTATCAGTGTCTAAATATTCACAAATACCAACGGTAAAGTTAAAGAATGCACAACTTCAACAATAAGCTAGTTCGCAGTTTGAGAATCGTTTCCAGTGCGCATCGCGATTTTTCCCGAATTTCTCACCTTCCTTTTTTATTTAAACTACGAACTGTCTTATACAAACAGACTTCGAAAATCCACGGACCTTAACTGGAACAAATGAATATTCTGCACGAAATCGATACTAACCCTGGGAAACCGCAGAGCACTGACTCGAAACTATATAGAAAAGAGAGTATAGAAGTCACTGCCATTCAGTGTTTATTGACAGCATTTAATCCTTCACTTTCAGAGAATTCTGTATTAAGAGCTCTAAAAATCCTTGTTTTTTTATGTAGAGAAATATAAATGGTAAGCAAACAAATACTCCAGCCACCTTATTATTAACCATAATGATTATTAGTATTCATTATTTAGCTTTATGAATATTGTATTGAATTGAATTATTGATTTGAAAGTATGATCAAATGTAAGAGATACGGGACAAGGAGCTTGCTCTGCTCTCCAGTGCTCTGGATCCATGGTTCAGTTTTAGACACCAAGGATTTTCTTGGCGGTATATCCCTGAGGAAGGAAAAAAATGAAGAAATTAAGAGGCAATCGTGTAGTTTTTCTGCAGTTAATGGAATTGCTTTAAAACTCGTGCAAACGTGGAATCATTCGGGTAACCAGAGTATGAAAAATAGGAGCTTTCTTGTCTGCCTCGCAAGTAGTTTCTTTTAATTTTCAAAAACAAAGTAAAATATGTTTATCAAGAAGGATAAAAATGAAAACTAACTAGAGTAGGAAACAATTGCTGGCAAAAAAAAATGGAGCCTGTAAAGTACTCCACAAAATCGCAGCTCATCTTTACAGGATATTGCACGTACCAAACAATGGCAAAATATTGTGATGCACATAGTAATGCGAGCAGCAACACTATGCAACTTGCAATCCAACAGTGTGGCGCAATATAGTGCAATTATGAATGGGGTTTAACACAGTGGATTCCATAGCGTGGCTCTTATTCCACAGGATTCCGATTGGAATTTGGAAGTTGATTTTTATTGAGGGAGGAAATTCTCCTATCACTCGTTCTTAAGGGGCATTTTCCCAGCGTATAGACTCCTTCCATGTGACTTCAAAGCAGCTCAATTTGGAGGACAAAGCAAAAGAATTTCAATCTCCTCAGAATTGGAAACCTATTGTTATGTCCTCCAAATTGAGCTGCATTCCGACGAGCTGTAAGGGGTCTATAGCCTTAATAAACAAATTTAAGGCACTGCCGTTGCGCACAAGTTTCAACATGTAACAGTGCTTTTAGCAGTGCAAGTTGTTCAAACGTGGACATTAACGTCAGCTGAGTACTTACCGGTAGACTGTAAACAAAGATGACCACGATAGCGATGATGATGAGCAAGATGAGTACTCCAATGATGATCCACTTGTAGTTCCTCCAGATGATGTACTTCAGAGTTTTGAAGGGTGACGTGAACCACAGGAATGACGTTGCTGGACGACTAAAACAGATATGATAAATACAGTGAGGCGTACCCCAGCAACACGTGCATTTCCCCACAATACCCTGCACGCGTGCGCACAGTTGCGCAAAGTAGATATAATTTGATTAATAGAAACTAARAACATAAAAAAGAGGAGTGGAATTTCGTAAGTGGGAGAGTTAAAAACAGGAAGACCGGTAAGAAGGGGAGATTTCTTTTCAAAAATGGGGAAGCAAGGCTTACTCGCTTTTTCCCAAAAATAAGAAAACCGCTAAAAAAGGAGAGATCGCCCCCCTCCCCCCAAATAGGGTGCAAACTCCAAGTCTCTTGCACTAAATCACCCAGCAAGGTATATACTGTATACCTTTAGAGATAAACTAATCACCCAAATCACTTACTTTGGTTCGTCGAGATGTGGATGTTGGTTTGGTTCATCTCGTCCTAGACCAACAGGTTTGGCAGCTGCTTCCCCGGATGTGAGTAGTTCAAGTGTCATCTCTACTTTACCCTGAACAACAAATAGAAGGGGAAAACATGAGACATTTCTGGATTTGTGTAGAATTTGTGCCAGCTGAGTGGCATTATTTAATTATGAAGGTATATAGATGATCAAACTAAAATTGCTTGTTATCAATCATTCCCCAACCTTATCTTTAAAAGATAGCAATTCTGCAGGTAACGTAAATTTTGTCACGCAAGATAAACGTAAATTTTGTCACGCAAGACAAACGTAAATTTTGTCACGCGAAACAAAAATGAAAAAGACACCGAAGGACCTATTCTTTAGGTGCATGGATTTTGGCTTCTTTCCTTAGATCAACCAACATGGCGGCTGTTTAATTGTTACGTATATCTTGGGGGGATTTTAAGTCATGTCGCACCCCAAGAATAGACGCTGTTAAATCAGTGGCGCCAGGAACATGGCTTTACTTACAGTTGGTTTTTCATCCCCTTCCTGATAGCATGCCCACCATCCTTGAATGGACTTCTGTTGGAACAAGTCAACATGTTCTCCATTCTTGCCTGGGTCACGACTTGTTCCACAGCGCGATGATGAAGCACAAGGCTTAGGCAGTTTGATCAAGTCTAACTCGGTTTTGCCTTTGAAAGAAATCAACATGTCAATATGACGCAAGGTACAAGGTATGATAATTCTTTGCTATCAATAGACGTCATTTCCGGTAATATCTGTGTTTTGACTGTGGGCAACTAGCATTTGGAAGCGTTGAGGATCTTGGAGGTTATATGTTTGTTGATTTTTGGAGTCAGATAATCGTCGTAGCGTATTAATTGCCTCCCCCCCAAGTGAACTCCAAAAAGTCACGTGATTGACAGTAAGCAATAGGTGTGGGAGGGGTGGGGAGGGGGAGCAGGATCAGTGTGTGTTACTCAAACCCTGAATCTTAAAGCTGGGGCAGTGGGTTCATTTCCCATCATCAATCGTTCTTACCAAGAAAATCATCATAGGAGAAGGTATCGTTTTCCCAGATTTGAAGCATCAAGCGCGGATTTGTCCTCTCTTCCTTGTAGTCAAGACTCCAGAAATGCTCCTGAAAAAACCCCCACAAAAACCAGTCAAATACATCAAAATTATAGACAAAAAAATTGCAAGTAGACGTTTCTTAATTGGATCAGGAGTACCCCTAGCTGACCGCGATTGGTTCAATGGATGAAGTCATCACTCGACCGTGCCGTGTTGTGATTAACGGTTGTATTTTTGACAAGATAGCTCTGAAAAAGCCTTTCAGTGTAATCATTATTACTAACCTTTTTACGGATGACCATTTTCTTTTCTATGGGCAAGTATTGGAAGGGGAACACCATACGCCAGTTGAAGTTCCCGTCTCCGTCAAGAGATCGATAATGGATGTCTGTCTTTTGCTTTTCGTCATCTTCTTTGTCCAACCATCTGAATGAATAGGGAAAAAATTAGGTAAAAGAGTCAGAGTGAATTAGTGAGTTAGAATGAATGAATGAATGGATGGATGGATGGATCAGGATGGATCAATTGAATGTGTAAGCATGAATGTGCAAAGGAATAAAAACGATGAATGAATAGATAAATGAATTAATAAATGAATGAAAGTAAGTATGAATTGACGTATTAATTGCTTCCATTCATAAATCAGTGTGTGATTGAATAAGTAAATACACAAATTATCCTTGTTTTGCGAGGAAAGACTTGACAGTCTGTGTCCAAAGATGAGAATATGTGTCCAGCAGAAATTCAACTTCAATCCAGTATTCCCGGCCACGCCCATACTCACGCTTTGACGTAAATGTCACTCATTTCTTCTCCTGTGATTGACGTCTCTTCCATGATGACGTCACTTGTGTTCCAGATGATGCAACGCAACACGTATCTATGTTAACGAGTCATTGAAACACATCATTATTGATTTACCCAAAAAGACAAGAAAATTACATGTAACAGTTATACTTATAGAGGCTGTGCACCATCAAGTGAATCTGGTCGAATCTGATTTACGCCAGAAAGAATTCAGTTTCCCAGGGAAAAAGACTACTGTTGTGCCTCCTGTCATGGCTGCCATCACGTGATGGTGAAGCCTCTATGCAGTCATATACCAAACTCCAAGCGATGTATTTTTTTAGGGRGAGGGGGAAGGGAGGAGAGGGTTTGATTTTTCATTAACTGCAACAGTAGACCTCTTTACCTTGAGTGTCATTCCCTAGAGTATCATTTCTTTGTTTAACAGTTGTGCATGAGAAGACACATGAATATGGATACGACTCAAACAAAGAATCTTATTGGCTAGAGAATGACACGTGTTCTGAATTGGGAAAACAATACGCCCCAGGGTAAGAGACCTATTTACTCACTCGCTAGGCTCTCTGGCAGTCACGTCAACTGATGACTTTAGTACTCCACCCTCATTTCTTGGGAAGAGATCAACCCATAGCTGAATCTTGCCCTGAAACAAAAAAAAACAAACAAAAAACAAAAAAAAAACGTTAGAAAAGTCGGAGAACAAACGTGTAATAAATCATACTTATAATCACAACGATTTTAAAGGATTAATGATGGTAATTGAACTGAGTGGAGTGCAATTTGGACCAAAATCATACGAGTGATTACAAAATTGCACGACCGCGTAGCGGGACACAAGTATGATTTTGGTCCAAAATTGCACGACACGAAGTTCAGTTACAACTTAATCACATCCTTTTTGTAATCATACACAAGAAAAAGACACAATAAAGAGTGCAGAATAATCAATATTTAATGTAGAACAAGAAGTAAATCAATCAGGTTTTTCCTGGTATAAAATAAACGATTTATCAGCAAATCATTTAATATTCATAAATAATGCTAATCATTCTCTTCTCTGATTGACTGAATATGAGAATTCTGTTCTGTGATTGGTTCTTTCAAAAAGATGCGATTAAGAGCTCTAAAGGATGTGATTAAGAGCTCCTAAGGATGCGATTTAGGAATTAATCGCACTCCTTTGAACCAATCAGATTGCAGGACTTGGTAGTGATTACAAAAAGGATATGATTAATCTAAAAATCATTTCATTATTCACCATATTGAGTGACCATCTTATTCCTCCAAAATGGCGATTACGACAAGTATTTCATGGCTCATTGATGTACATATAAATATTCATACTATCACCCCGGCTTACTAAAAACGAAACGGAAAGAAAGCGCACGCGGGCAAGTTGTTGACGCACAGGAGTAGGGAAAGGCGAAATTTAAACTGCATCCGGTTACTAAAAATAGCACAACCGGGAATTTACATGGCGCGCGCGTTATTAAGAAGCTTCCCTCTCTTATTTATGCTCTCTTATTAATACTTACTAATAGTAATCTCATACCTGTTCGATATTGGGTCATAAGTCATTAATAACTATTAATAGTTATTTCATACCTGTTCGATATTGGGCTGCACGCAGCTCTTAAGGGAGCGTGTTTCCACGTGTTCTGGAACCATTTCTAGCTGGTTTAGGACGTGTAGTGCAAGGCGCTGGTGTTTGGGTCCGAGATGATCATTTGGCTTATCTTCCTCATGGAAATCCTCTGCGAAAGTAAGAACAGTTCATCATGCATTACCCTCATCATCATCATCATCATCATACTCGCCATCATAGATCCCATAACAAACACGAATTAAACACGATACTCATAATGTGACAAGAGGCGGCAAAAATAAGCTGAGTCGAAGGTTTTAGACATAATTACCATCACCATCATTATTTTCATCATCATCATCACGGTATTATCATGGCATTACTGGACACATTCTTCATTATTCCACATCTTAATAACTGTTGTTATCGGTCAGTATCATCATCCATCATCATCATCATCATCACGGTATTATCATGGCATTACTGGACACATTCTTCATTATTCCACATCTTAATAACTGTTGTTATCGGTCAGTATCATCATCCATCATCATCATCATCATCACGGTATTATCATGGCATTACTGGACACATTCTTCATTATTCCACATCTTAAAAACTTTTGTTATCGGTCAGTATCATCATCCATCATCATCATCATCATCACCATCATCATCCAACATCATCATCAACACAATCACCATCACCATCATTATCATCATCACCACTATCACTATCACCATCAACACCACCATCATCACCATCATCGCTATCATCATCACCACCATCATCATTATCATCACCACCACCATCATCTCCATCTGCATCACCATCATCATCATCATCACCACCACCATCACCATTACCACCATCATCATCACCACTATCACCACCACCACCACCACCATCATCATCACCCTAATCTTTATCAAACATTATGTCAAATATTTACCAAACTCATCCAGTTGATAGACGCGATAGGCAACGACTATTCTATCAGGAGTGCCATCCTTGGTTCCCTTGTAGAACTTGAAGTTCTTATCGTTCTTTTCACACCATTCTTTCAACAACTCCATTGGTTTCTTGTGATCTCGCCACTGGTTTGGTCCAGACCTGTGCAGATAATCACGTAAACATGTGCCTTCAAATTATCACGCTATTTGAATTTAATACAAAAATGGAAAACTCGCGCGCGTGCAATTATAAAGCACACAGGGCTTGGCAGAAACACGAAAAAATTGTTAGAAGAAACATGATGTGGACAGATTACAATATCGGTTATTTTAGACACGAACGAGGAAATAGAAAGTACGCATGCGTGATGCATGCCCTCATAAAGCACGCTTCTCAACCAATCACAAAACGAGAATCCTGACAATAAAGACTTCGCATTTTGCCGTCGTTCATAATACAGCTTGGGCGGCCTGTGGTTAGATGGAAGAATAATAAAATCCCTTTGCTCTAGGGAACTGAATTCTTTCTCATGTAAAACGATTGTATTGTTCCTGCCCTCTAACATGGCTGCCGTCACGTGATGGTGCAAAACCTCTATTGTTTTATGATTCAATTTTGATGTATACCAAGAGATCCCTTGTATATACTTACTCGCAGTAACTCTTTGGGAGCCCACACTTAGCATAGTATCGAGACAAAAGCCTTTGTTCAAGGTCTATCACGGTTTCACCGATCATGTCATCTCTGCTCAGCAGATCGTAGTCCATGACTTTCACCGTCAGGTCCTTGTGCAGAGGAATGACTGCATCAAACTCAAACATCCTGAAACAAAAATAAATAACCTCAGTCGGAAATACTTTGGGTTCTCTTTTCCGCCTCTCTCATTCCCCAAACTAGCCTCGCAAACGACCGACCCCACCCTAGACAAGGCACGGGTACCCGTGCTATTTTCATTGCTTGCTTCTCATAGACGTCTTTTCCGGTCTAAGTAATTCTCCCAGCTTCACTTGACGTCATTTCCTGTTTCGTGCGGAAAGTTCATCAGCTGAATCGCAAGTTTTCAATAAAACTGTTTTTGTATTGCTGACAGTGTTTGACCATCGTTTGGAGCAGATAATCAGATTCAGAGATTTTTTACCAGCATATTGCAAGTTTTCAGAAAAAAGACTTGGATGATTGAGCGACACAGGCAGTGTTTTGCTCGTCAGTATTAATCAAACATTATTCAGTCAGCTGTTTGATACCAGCACAGCAACTGTCCTATATTTCGCGGCCGGTCATAGCACTTTTTCGAGTTCAATAAACAAGATGCATTGTGGTTTAGCTTGGGTACAAGCACACCATAAAAGGAAAGATAAATAAAAGATATTTATACCCAAACTAAATCACAATGCACCACATTCACCATCTTAGAAAAGGCAGAGTTGGAAGAAAATGTGTTTTCATTAAAACCAACTTGACAAAAATGCTTGGAGTTTTGATACCTACTTTCCAAAAATTGAATTCAATGTGTTCCTAGGCAAGATAAACAAAAGATATTCGTACCCAAACTAAATCACAATGCACCACATTCACCATCTTAGAAAAGTTGGAGTTGGAAGAAAATGTGTTTTCATTAAAACCAACTTGACAAAAATGCTTTGAGTTGTGATACCTACTTTCCAAAAATTGGATTCAATGTGTTTGGTTTGTAGTTGTCTTTGGTGTCAAACTTCTTCTTGCCAAGCTGGACCACGACATATGGATCAGCCTGGACAAAAAGAAAGAATATAGTCAGGAGTGTATTTGCGAAAAAAAATGGCGACAAAAGAATTTTACATACCAATCCATTTGGATCCTGTGGCTGAAGATCTGTAGCCTGGAAAAACATGCCAATATTTATTAGTTTTAGAAGATTTTAGGCTAGAAAAGGGCATGTGTTAAATCTGCATGCTCTAAAAAAATTAAAACTTTTCTATTTTGACCCGTGCTTCGTTTTTTATCCTGTTCAACATTCTGACCCGTGCTATTCGTTGTTTATCCTGTTCGACATTTGACCCGTGCTATTCGTTGTTTAT